CGCCGCGCGTCACCTCGCTTCCCGCGGCGGCGGCGGCCGAGGCGCCCGAACTGCCCGCGGCGGCGGCGGCGAGCTGCACGCCCACGTCGGCCTGCGCCACGGCCACGGCGTCGTTGGTGCCGTCGCCCACGAACATGACGACACGCTTCTTGTGCTTGCGCGACGACGGCGGGGCCGCGGCCATGAGGTCGGCCACGTACTCGCGCTTCTGGGCCGGCGTGTTCTGGCTGGCCACGTTGGAGGCGTGGATGCCGACCTGGGCGGCGACCGACGCGACGGCGCGGCTCTGGTCGCCCGACACGAGGTGGACGGTGATGCCGCGGCGCTGGAGCCCGGCCACCACGGAGACGGCGTCGGGCCGGAGGCGGGTTCGGAGGCCGTAGACGGCGATGGCTTTCCCGTCGAGGGCCACGGCGAAGATGCTCATGCCCTGCTGCTGGAGGCGCGTCACGGTCGGGTCGGACGCGGTACCAGTCCACTCGGAGTTCCCTGCGCGGAGCGCGAGGCCGTTGTGCTTGGCTTCGATGCCGGACCCGGGCACCACGTGGACGTCGTCGACGGGGGAGGCTGTGTGCTGTTCGAGGTGTTTGGCGACGGCGACCGAGACGGGGTGCTTGTTGCCGGCGGCAAGGGCGCGGGCGATGCCGGCCGCCTCAGCCTCAGTAATGGTCGGCGCTTGCGGGTACTCGGTCTCGAGAACGTCGAGCTCGGCTTCGGTGATGGTGCCCGTCTTGTCAAAGACGACGTCGGTCACCTTGCGCGCCATCTCGGTGCACTCGGCCGACTTGATGATGACGCCGCCGCGGGCCGCGATGCCGCCCGCGACGACGAGGACCATGGGCACGGCCAGGCCGAGGGCGCAGGGGCACGACACGGCGAGCACGGCGACGGCGTAGGTGACGGCGTCGGCGACGGCGCGGCCGGCGGGGAACGAGCGCACCTTGAGGCCGACCAGGACCCAGACGACGGTGACGACAATGGCGACCGAGGTGACGACGGGCACGAACCAGCCGGCCACGCGGTCGGCGACGTCCTGGATCTTGGGCTTGGAGTTGGCCGCGTCCTCGACGAGGCGGGCGATGTCGGTCACGGTGTTCTTGCCGGGCGGCCTGGTGAGCTGCACCACGAGGGCGCCCGACCCGTTGACGGTGCCGGCCACGACCGTGTCGTGCTTGGCCTTTGCGACGGGGACGGCCTCGCCCGTCAGCATGGACTCGTCCACCTCGCTCGCGCCGCTCACGACGATGCCGTCGGTGGGCACGGCTGAGTGCGGCAGGACCTTGAAGCGGTCGCCGTACTGCAGGAGGCGGGCGTCGATCTCGACCTCGCTCGGCTGCTGGCCCTTCTCGGGCGCGTCGACGACGAGCAGGGCCGTGGCGGCCTGGAGGGAGCGGAGGGAGACGGCGGCGACGGCGCGCATGCGCGCAAAGGCGGCGACCAGGCGGCCGAAAAGCACCAGCGTGATGAGCAGGGTGCTGGTCTCGAAGAATTCCTGGGTCTCGAGCGGGGTCCCCGCCACGCGGTGCCCAAAGGCTACGAGCGAGTAGACGTAGGCGGCCGTGATGCTGATGACGACGAGCATGTCCATCTCGACGGACCCGGAGTGGATCAGGGCCGAGATGGCGGGGTGGTAGAAGTCGGGAACTGCCACGAGCTGGACCAGCGTGGCCAGAGCAATGGAGACAGACGCGCTCGTGATGGGGTCGACGTGTACGCTCTCCTTGCCCCAGGCAAGAACCAGGACGGGGAGTGTCAAGACGGCCGCCACAATGGTCTTGATGAGCTGGTCCCACAGCCGCTTGCGGCCGCTCGAGACGGACGGATCGTCGCTGGGCGGGGCCAGCCCGGCCGAGAGGTCGCCGATGCGCTCCAGCAGCGTGCGAGGCCCGATGACGGCGGGTTCGTAGGTGACGCGGACGCGCTTCTTGTCCAGGGGCGCGACCTGGGTCACTCCGTGGACCTCCAAGTCGCAGAGGGCGGCAGCAGCCCGGTTCGACGCCACCAGGAGGTCCAGGGTCTGGTCTCCGTCAGACATGCGGGCGCACCTGAAGCCGGTGGCGCGCTCGGCGATGCGTATCACGTCCTCGGCCTTGTCGCCGTGGGAGGAGTCGAGGGTGAACTCGGCACTGCCCATGACGAAGTTGACGCGCACGCCGCTGACTCCTGGGGATGCGGCCTTCAGGGTGCGCTCGAGTTTGTTCCCGCAGCCAGAGCAGGTCATACCGTCGACGGTGAGGGCGATGTATTCAAGCGCTCCCGCATCATTCTCGATGTCCTGCTCGTCGACAGGGGCTGCGGTGGTCTTGCGGATGTTGGCAAACATGGGCTCGGCCCGGTGGTGACCATCACCATGGTCACCATGGTCGTGGTCACCATGGTCGTGACTATCACCGCAGCAATCGGACTCGTTGTCCTCCTTGACCACCCCAATCGCCATGTTGCCGTGGTCGTGAGCGTGGACGTGATGGTGCTGCTTGGCCTTGTGGCGGCGCTTCATGCCGTGGTGGTGATGGGCAGCCTTTTTGCGCAGTCCGTGAGCGGTAGTCTCGGCTTCGGCGACATCCAGGCCGTGTCCGTTCTTGGCTTTGATGGCCGTGATGCTCGTAGCCGAGCGCTTGGCTTGGTACTTTTGCGGTGCCGACTGGCGCTGCTGTCGCTGTTGTTGTTGCTGCTGCTCGCCGCAGCACGCGGCCGACGGCAGGCCACGCTCGAGGATGCTACGGCAGATGCAGCGGGCCGTTTCCAGATAGGCGCTGTACTGCTCAAAGGCCTTGGCAACGTGCGAGTTACACGCAGAGCCGTGGTGACCGTTCTGGTCGTGGGCGTGCTCGTGTCCGGTTGCAGCTGCAGTCGGCGATGTGCCATGATGTGCATCAGCACTTGTGCCATCACCGCGGCGCATATATGGGCAAAGAGAGAGGGGAGAGAATGGAGATGCAGGTGTGAGTAACGTACCATCATGAGCCGCATCGTCATCACAGGTCTTCTCGCACTCAGCCGTGGCGGCGGCATAAATGCACTTCACTGTTTCTGTGGGTCAGCACGAGGCCATGACAGAGACGGGATAGCGGCAGGGCCTGTGGCAGGTCAGCCAGCGGCACGAACCGTCGCAGTGCTCCTCGTTGGTGTTGCAGCACTCAAGAGTCTTGGTGGAGGGCGCGGTCGAGGCGCTGTCGGCCTCGTAGCAGGTCTCGTCGTCGCAGCAGTCGTCGCCGGGCGTGTCGCAACAGTCGTCGCCGGGAGTGCTGCAGCACTTGTCGGCCGAAGTGTCACAGCAGCTGTCAGCTGCGCCCTTGTGCTCGGGGCCGGGCTCATCGCCGTCCAGCTCGCGACTAGCGCGAGCGTGGTCGTCCGAGGCGGTTGCGGGCCCGTCGCAACGTGGCTCGGCCGGCTTGTCCTGGCAGCCTCCGCCGCCTCCGCAGCAGCCGGATCCCATGGCGACAGGGACAGGGAGGTGAGGGTGTGTTGTGAAGAGAATTTAACGACGATGATGCTTCTAGTGATGTTTCTAGCGTTGGATCAAGCTTCTTCCCGGGACCCAGCTTCGTGCTCTAGCAGCCCAGGGATGGGGTGTTCGGACGGGAGAGCAAGCTTGTTTTAAATAAGTTGCTCAGAGCGAAGCGGGAGTGCGGGTGGGAGGCAGATAGGGACCAAACGCGGGCTGTTTTACCAGAGTCGCATGGGCTGATCCCCTAGCCCACCGCCTCTGCAGCCCTGACCGAGAATTCCCGAGGAATCCAGAAGCGGGAGGTGCTGAGGCGGGTGCTGTGATTGGCGCGACCCTCGCAGGATCTCGGCTCATCACGCCCGACAAAGACGCACTAAACACAGTCACCGTTTCCAGGGGCACCCAACTCACCGTTTTTGTCCACGCCACCTGCACCTACATACACATGCAGCCCCACCTGTGATTGGGGTGGATGCTTGGTCAAGGTGAACGTTGCTGAGGTGAACGCCACGCTTTCCTCTGTCGTTCCGGATCCATTACGAGAAGACAGAAACTGCCCCAAGGAAGCCGAACCGATGTGCCCGTGCCACTTTTCCAAGACGGGAGGAGCCGGTGACGGCTTGGCAGAAGCAGCTTCCCCCCAGAGAAATTGACCTTCCAGAGACGTTGACCGTGGCGCCGTTCGCATCGGGCTGGGCTGGAGGCTTGATTGAGTTTGAGACATGCCACGTGCGAAACGCCCCGCACAGAAACTGCCCGAGCCTGGAGGCTTCGTATTTGATGCCCCCACAATGGAATACAGGGCAAGAATAAGCTACAAGCTTGTGTTGTGCATCCACAATGTGGTAGTGCCTCAATTGACCAATCACCGAGTATCTTGGTCCTGAATTCCGTGTCAACCAACCCCGACTTTGGGTTGCTGTGAAGCTGCACAAAGGCATCGATTGGTCAACCGTGGAAACGAAACACCAGCAGCAAGACTGTATTGGAGTCAACGCTCGGGCAAATTACCTATTAGCTGGCTATGCTTCCTTCTCCAATGCATGTCAGGTATCGGAGTCCAGCAAAACAAGCAAAACGAGCAGACAAGTGCTGCCCCTTCTGCCCTCTACGGTCCCTGCTCTCGCGCCAGGCCACTCGCCGAACCGCCGCAGCGAGCGGCCAGCGAGCAGCCCACCCTCCATCCATGGCGCCCAACCGCCCTCGTGGCATTCCGATACTTCGCCCAGCGCTGACGAAGCACCCTTACTTCTTCCGTGCCCGCCCCCCCTTCCCACCGCCGGCTGATTCGTGCTCAAATTAAGCCTGCCCACATCCCCCCGCCGGCTGGCCAAGTCCCGCCCGGCATGCACCCCCACCTGTCTGACAAATCGATGGCGGCGAGGGGGAGCGAGGGGTCTCTCTGGTCGCTAGATGCATCTCGCAGTGACGTCGGCGAGCCACTTTCCACGAACGGAAGAGATCCGCAGAACGGAGCAGCGCTCAGACGGCAAAGTAGTATTTTGCACCCTGTACTTTGCTAGTCCCTAGCGGTAGATTCACATAATTCGCTACGTGCGATAACGTCAAAACATAACGTGCTCGCTGATTGGGCCTGCCATGACGGCGCCCAGCGGAATCGGTCAGAAATCTTGGGGTTCGAGATCCTTGGTTCCTGGAGCCGGGTAGATCCCAAAAAGCACTTAACCCGCTGTCCCGGCCGCCCGTGAAACTTGTTTCTTCCTCCCCTTCACTCCCCAGGCACCGCTCATCCCATCGAGTCCCCCGTCTCCACACACCCAAGAACCTTGGGCCCTTGGTCAAACTCAATTCCTCCGCCGCCATGAAGCTTGTCCAGTTCGCATCCGCCGTCGCCCTGCTCGGGGCCGGCGTCAACGCCAGCGCCTGGTGGAACTACAAGACCGTGGCCGAGTATGAGCCGATGAGCGACTCCATCGTAAAGCACGAGGGGACGCCCGTAGGCGAGGAAGTCAAGTACGAAGGCTGTGAGTCTGCATATACATGCAAAGCTACCAGACGGAGAAGAGCTCGTCGCTGACACGACGGCCAGTGACCCTTTACGTAACCAAGCCGAAAGGGAAGAAGGCTGACAAGGCCGTTCTCTACATTACCGATGTGTTTGGTACGGAAATTTCAGAATTGCTCATAGCCAGACTACGCCTGCCTTCAGACTGTCCATGCTAAGCACTAGCTAACGATCCCGGTCTCCTTTTTGTTCGCATCCAGGAATCCAACTCGCGCAAAACAAGCTGTAAGCCTAAGCGCAACCCGTGTCCTGCCCTGCACCACTACCCCTGGAGCCATCCACCGCCGCATTTCCCGCCAAAGGACGCAGTCCCAAGCTGACCACCTCGCCGCAGCCTCGCCGACTCGTTCGCCCGCGCGGGCTTCGTGACCGTGGCCCCGGACCTCTTCGACGGCGTCCCGGCCCCCGAGGACCTCAACAAGCCCGGGTTCAACAGCACCGCCTTCCTGGCCAAGTACAACGCCGGCGTCACGGACCCCAAGCTCGCCACCAGCATCAAGTACCTCCGTGAGGTCCTCGGCGCCAAGGTTGTCGGCGGCACCGGCTACTGCTACGGCGGCCGCTACTCGTTCCGCTTCGCCGCCAAGGGCAAGGGCCTCGACGCCGCCTTCGCCGCCCACCCTAGCCTCCTGGAGGACGGCGAGATCGTCGCCGCGACCAAGCCTGCCGGCATCGCGGCTGCTGGTAAGCCCAAACCCCCCATCACCCCCATAACTCTTTTTCTTTTGCACCGGCTAACGGCAACAGAAAACGACTCCCTGTTCAGCACCGAGCGCCGCCACGCCGCAGAGGGCCTCCTGCAGCAGGCCGATATTCCCTTCCAGGTCTCGCTCTACTCTGGCACCTCGCACGGCTTCGGCGTCCGCGCAAACGTGTCGGACCCCCAGCAGAAGTTCGCGAAGGAGGCCGCTTTCTTCCAGGCCGTCAGGTGGTTCAACGCCTGGATGTAGACATCAAGGCGCGTCAGTAGCTTGTATATCAATCACTGCAGAATGAGTTCCAGTTAGATATAAACTACGACGACAATGTCCATCCAAACTACTTCTTCTTCCGCATTGAAAGAAGCTGTGAAGCAGCAAAAGACGATTGGAAACCTGCAGTGTGCTCTCCCAGATTGCCGACCATAGTAATTCCACCTGCCGCGCATCCCAAAATGCAGTCGGAGATATTCCGTGAAGAAAATAGGAACGTTGGGATTGCTGCCCCATGTCAGAACATGGCGAGGCGAGGCCACTACTAGGGCTACAATGCGACTATGTATCTTTTCTATCAAAAACTAGTCGTAGCCAGCCCAAGGGAAGCACTGCCTATTCCACTCTTCGTCCCGTTGGCCTGAGGGGAAAAGACATCCCCCGAGTAGCGCATCAGTCGCCCCGGAACTTCTTCCTGAACACACGGGCCTGCACAGCGATGTGCTTGGCCCTCTGGATCCTGTCTGCCTTGGCATCCTCATCATTGGTCTCCTCCTCGACTTTGGCCGCGAAGTTGGGCGGCAGCATTCTATAATAGAAGGAATTAGGGATAACTGCAGAATCCACGGTTAGCAAAATCGTCCCAAACAGCGTGTCTCTCGACAACCCAGCACCGGGACGTTGACATGACTCACTTCTCGTGCCGTGCCTCTCGATGAGGGTCTTGAGGTCTAGATGCGGATACTGGTGCTCGGCGCAGAGGTGGTTCACGCCAAAGCCCCAACCACCGGTCGGGGGGATGTCGTACCAGCCCGTGTTGCCGCTCAGCGGGCAGGGCTTCCGGTCCAGGTGGAACGGGCAGCGCAGGATCCACATCTGGTCCGACCTCTCGGGCCAGCGGAACCCTCGGGGCATGGGCTTCATCTCCAGGACCTGGGTCCAGGCGATTTCCGGGACCACCTTGCGCGTTAGGTCAAAGAGGTACCCGATATCGGCAAGGCCGATCGAGCCGAAGGCGCCGAGGAGTTCGGGCTTGCGCTGGCCGGTGCTCTCACCGGCTGTCTTGGGCCGCTTGTTGGCCACGGCGCCGCCCTCGTGGTCGCCGTTCCGCTTGGTGCTACCAGGCGCCGAAGGACCCGGCGCGTCGGCAGGCTCGGGCATTTCGGACACCTCGCGCGGTTCGAGCGCCGGCTTGGGTGAATCGGGGGCCGGCTGAAGTACTGCCGACGCAGCATCTTGGCTTGAAATGCCAGGCTGGATGTGCTCTTCCCCCTTGGCCTGCTCTTCCTGCTCTTCCTGCTCCGCCAATTCGACTTTTTTACCCAGCTTGGCTAGCTTGGCTCGCTCAGCCTTCTCGGCTTGTTCAGTCTTCTCAGCCTTCTCGGACTCTTCGTACCACTGCACGCTGCACCGAAGCGTCTGAAATACGTCATGGACGGGCGCCTCGAGGCCCCTCATGCCATCCACAAGCCACTTCTTGTTCAAATTGGACATCGCCAACTTTGATCTCAGAGATAGCTTTTCGGAAGCATCCGCTTTGGCGCGAGTCTCAAGCCGGTCTTTCTCAGCCCCGAGGTTCCTGTTCTCGGCCTTCAGGTTTCTATTCTCGGCCACAAGTTCGCTATTCTCGTTCTCCAATGTCGCCTTCTCATTCTTTAGACGCTCCAGCCTATAAAACAGTCTGGTTAGCCAGGCAGTCCTCACGACGGCACGTGGCGATAAAAAAGATAGGCATACCAGCCACCGCCCTCGCTGCCATGATGGTAGCAGATGACCTGGCACTCGTCGTTGGAAATGTCGATATAGCGTTTTGGGTAGAGTGCAAGCGAGGCTGCGGTCTTGGCTGGATCAGTGGTTCCGCAATCCAGCGCCAGCATCTTACCCGCAATCTCAAGTTGGACTCCTCTGAGGCGCTGATACTCAGGATTGTTCTCAGGGTCCGTGAAGCTAGGCTTGGGGGGCTCTGCCACAACATCTTGATCGCTGCTGGTGTCGCCAGGCTCATCCAAGCCAGTTGGTGGATGAGGCGAATGACAAGCGACACTGGCCTCATCCGAGGGCTCATTGATGCTCGGCCTCTGAATGGCCTCTGATGGCTCACCAGTGCCGAGGGCCTCACTGTTCTCCAAGGGCTCCCCAGAGTCCGTGGCCTGAACCTCCTCGTGAGACGAACCAGCCATGGCTGCTTGTGTGCTTTGGTTCTTGCAGGAAGCCAGGGCTTCGCAATGCAGATTGTAGCTAAAATAGTTTCTTGATCGTGTGGAAAATGCAACAACGGAAGGGAAAGAATTTGCTGATAGGGGAGAAAAAAAAGAGACAGAAGTTTGAGGTGAAGGTGAATATTTTATAGAACAAGAAAAGCGGGGAGAGGGGAGTGCTACCCTTCCCCCGTCAGCTCCTTCTATTCGTTCGTTCCTTCCCTTTATAGTTGATCCGCATTAAGGATTAAAGGATATGACTCACACGCCGCAAAGCAAACATCTTAAACTGGTGCTGGCAGACTAGGAGCTTAATTCTCCCCAACTGGAAACTCTTATGAGGAAAAAGACGGAGATTCTTTCGAACCTCAAGTCGGCGCAACTTCAAACCTGCCACCAACCACAGGAGTCAGGCACCGCATCCAGCAACGCTTGGCCAAAGGTAGCGTTTCCTATTCTAAGAGTTTTTCAACTTTTGCTCGTCGATTTAACATCGTTCACCAACTTGATTGCCTCAGCACTCTCACCGAAGAATCATATCGGTTGGCAAGCATGCCTCCGCGAGGGAAGAAACGCGCCCGAAGGCTTCAGCCAGTGTCCGTACTTTGTCATATCATTCCCATACATCATTGCACCTCAATATAGGGCTCTATCAGAAACTAATCGGTGACAACTTTAGGCATCTCGGCATTGACCATGGAACTACTTTCACTCGAGTTCGCCTCTTGCTCAAAGGACAGGACGCCAAGCCAGAGGTGGTGAGCGAGTGTTTCGGAGCCCGCAACAAATTCGACTCCAAGCACCGGGTTCGTGGCTCCCAGACGATTCCTGATTTTCCTGCCTTCTGTCTCCTGGGACATTCGGGCGAGGAGTCAATCTCCTCCTTCGAGATCCAGCAATCGCCAAACCGCGTTCCACTCAAGCTAGCCTCCCTTATTCTTGACGAACAAGAAGATACAGACACGGGAGAGCCGCGACACACCCTACTGCGTCTGATGCCCCGATATCATGAGAATCTCGTCAGGTTCAAGGAGAAGGACCCCAACAACTTCAATTTCAAGCTCATGAAGATCTGGATCGCGCATTTTGAGCATATCAAGGGCCGTATCCTCAGCTACTGCGAGATGAAGGACTACGAGCTGACTTCCATCACCATGACTGTTCCGAACTGGGCCAATGACGAGAGGGTCGATCACATTTACTCTGGCATTATTCAAGGCGTCTTCGATGGCCATGTTTGCGCCTCGCAGTTCTTTGACGTCAGCGAGGCCCAGGCGATGGCTCGCTCCCTAGTCAAAGAGCAGCTAAGTCACGAGAACAGTGAGCTGGCCAAGCTGGTTGGACAACGCAACATGCTCCTGGTCGTTGATATTGGTGGGACGGCCATGGTGAGTAATCGCCGTGCAAACAGGGCATACTCTTACTCTTCCTTCCAGGGTGCTGTCACGATCCAGCAATTAAACAAACTAATCATTTCGTCATCTATAAAGAATGGCTGCCTGGTCGAAATTAGTCGCGACGAAGGCACAGTCCTCACGGCTATCGAACTTGAATCCTTTGGTAAAGACACTCCGCTGATTGCGATAAACACACATATGCATATATATCATTTTTCAATTATTATCCGTTCTAACAGGTAGCGTTAGGATGCTTTGGAGGCAGCGAGCTGTGGGAGATGGCGGTTGCCGAAGCTCTCAGAAAACATGACCCACGCGCCAGCGACGACAATGTTCTGGGGTCCTATCTGAGCGACTTTGCCGACATCAAAGCGATGGTCCAGTCGCCGGATGCCACCATCCGCCTCAACCACCAAGGGGATGCCACAGAGCTCATCCCGCGTGAGGCCCGACGCTGCTTCGACAAAGCGTTCAAGAGGGCCCTAGATGATCTCGAGTCCAAGCTCCGCCCGATTGTCTCCCGACTCGCCAAGGTCAATTCCCTCCAGAATCTTGCCATGGTCTTCACTGGTGGGACCTTCAACACGCACTGCATCTACACACACGTCAGCTCTCTGGTCAGCACTCTGGACCCGGACGGCAAGACGGCTCCCATTTTTCTCAACCAGCTCGAGGGGCTCCATATAGAAGATCCGTAAGCAACGCCAAAGACCAACGGTCCCACATAACCCATAAATATTTTTACGTTGCTGACCGGCTGGTTATCATGGGATTCCTGTAGCACTGGACTGATTGCTCGTGGTGCCGTTTATGCGGCGAGCACGAGCACGACGGTGAGGGAGTGGCTGAAAGAGGGCGCAGCCTTTGGTGTACAGTCATGCTTCACCAAGAACGGACTCTGGTGTAATGAGTTTCCGGCACTTACCATCGGGGTAAGACTTTGTTATTATGAACTCCCCGTCAACATTTTACCAGGCTAACCCGAGCGCAACCTCGTCATCACACTCTAGCTAGTTGAGCGCGGCGAAGGCGGCAGCTATCCGGGCCGCAAGATGGGCAAGGGAAACCGGTTCGAAAAGATCGCCCTCAAGGTGGTCTGCGACCCGCTCCATGGGAAACGCAGGGGCACGGACGAGATGCTGTCGTACCTCAACTGCTACGACGTCTTTGTCGTAGACAATGAGGAGACGCAGACGCCGGGCTCCTACCGGTGGTACTTGTCTGTCTGGGGTAGGAGTGGCCGTGATCAAGCTTGCGGGCTCACGCTCACCATCGAGCATGTCCAGGGAGAGTGGAAGGACGGAGCAGAGCAGTCTGGTGTCAGGAAGGAGTGGAGAATTCCGCTTCGGTATGACATTGGCACTGGCTGCGCCCTTCCGGACGAAGCCAATATCGAGCAAGGAGAGTGGGAGTTGTTTTACACGTGAGCATCGGCATCTCCGTCGATGAAAGACTAGATACGGGAGTTCGATGGATCCCTCGACGTTTCCGTAAACCCCAAGGTAAAATTAGAAAATCGCATCAAAGACCGTTGGTCACTTGACCATCGGTTGCCTTTGTTGACTTTGGCAGATGCTGCTGTTATTTCTGATGTCTTAACAAGACAAAGAAATGTCTGCGTTAACCAAACCAGTCTTATTTGCTCCCAAAACCTGCGACTCTACATGGAGCCACAAGCAAGTATTAAATCGAAGAGGGTTCCCCGGAAAAATATGCTAAAACGAAGAACAACACAACATCTTCTCCTCGCAGCGACTCTTTACCAAGTCTTCTCTACAGTCAGATACCATAAGCTTGCAACTCAAACCCAGCACTATATAGCCACCCGAAGAGCAACCAATACCACAATGTCTCCACAGACTCGAAGAATGGCCGCCCGGGCCGAAGCCCCTATCATTTTGGGTGGACTACCGGATTTCAACCGATCATTCGCGAGGAAGAAGAGGGCCTGCAGAGTGTATGTGAGGGATCCAGCGCAGGATGCCCTTCTCCTAGCCCGTCACGACAACGGCAGTTCTTGCCTCCTTCAGTTCCTGGCTCCCAAATGGGGCCACTGCCGCCCAAACCCGTCCTTCAGAGGAGTAAAGGTCCCTCCAAATGGGAACCTGGCGCGAAGGGAGGACATGCAGATCTTTGGAGGTGTCCAGTACCCTTCCCCCCCGAACTTCCGCGCCAAATGTCAAAATCCTGCTGGTCCTCTAATCCCTGGAGGCCCAATCGCGCCTTACCGACACCTGGATGTGCCTGTCGTGAGATGGGACGCCAGGCATGGGTTAGGGAATAACTGGGCTGCAACACTCCACGCCATCGCCGGCGGTAACAGCATCTTCATCTACGAAGGGCAGTTCGAAATCAATGGCCCTCCGCCGCTGGCCACCCAAGACCTAATCTTCAAAGGCTACATGACATGCCCAGTCACGGACCAGTGCATGGATGTGACGGGCTTCGGAGCCCTGCGACCCGCCCGGCTCGCTGCGGAGTGCGGAACAAACAGCGCGACGCGCAACAACTACGGAATCATATCGTGCAGGTCCATCGCTGCGCACAACCGAGCAGTCCGGCAAGCCGGCACAAACGAGCGCGGCCAGAACATGGAGCACCTGGCCGCGGAGTGTCTACAGCAGATCGTCGACGGGATGGGCGGGCCGGTCTGCCTGATGCTAGGGCCGACGGTCATTGCCCCCACCCAGCGCACGGCTGGCGGCAACATTCCCGATCTCAACTGGATGGTGTGGCCGCACAGGAGGAGCGTGAACGCGCCGTGGGATCGGAGGATTGCGGACCCCCTTACGCCACCAGTGGTCTTCAACCAGGCCAAATGGGCGACCATGACACGGCTTAGGACGCTTGTTTTGGAGGTCTGGGATTTCAGATCTGGCCAAGCCCAGGAGGTGTCCTTTGGGGTAGGGGCACGCAGACGCAATGACCCAACCCCGAATACCGCCATGGCCAGCGAGGATGCCGACACCATGCGATTTGTCCAAAACTGGTTCGCCCAGATCCGCGCGGGATTCGCACAGCAAGTCCCTGCGCACCCAGGTCTCGATCTACTGGTAGTTGCCGGCCTCAATACCGCGTCCAGCGCGTTTGATAACACTAACCGGTACGGCGAACCCCACCACGGCATTGGTCCTACAGTCGACTGGAAGACCACGCTAGCACCTTTGTTGAACCCGAACGGAGGTAAACTTGTCCTAGTGGACTTTGACCAGATTGAGAATTACGACATGTGGAAGTTCGTTGAACCGTTTGAGAATTAAGACCCGGAGGGCTCAGATGCGGAATGGACCGGAGGAGGAAGGAATGGAAGGAGGGGAAGAAAGTATAGTGCATTTTAACCAGATAGATATAGACATAGACATAGAGTGTAGGCTTGAACAACACCCATTTTTCTCACTGATTAAAGCCCGGTAACACTGCAGGAATCACTCACCAGACTTGCCCACATCCCTACCGACAACCCCAATGGGGAATTGACGTGTCTGTAGATCCAAATGGCTGCCATTGCTCGGATCGGTGACTTGCCTGACCTCAAGCTCGGGTGGGCTTGTCCGAACGGGGGTGCTAACCTGGCTAAGGGAGCCGTTTGATGGTACAAGCGTGCTAGACCGATCCAGGTCCCACAGGGGGCTAACCTCCAACCGGCCAGCAGGAATGCTCTTTCAAATTATCGACCAGTGCTCGCACCGCACTCATATCTTGGGCGTCCTTGCCTTTCTCCAATGCCAGCGCCTCCGCCGCAAGCGAGGCGTAGCGCCGGGCCGGATCCTCCATCCCAAGCATGCAGTAGCTCAAAGCGGCGAGCTTGTACGGCTTGCTCAGTTTGCCCTCTAGCCTTTCGACCCCGTATATATCCAGGAGCTCCTGGGCCATGGCAAGCCGCTCGTCCAGCTTCTCGGGCTTGGCCAGATCCTCCTCCAGCCGCGCCAGGCGCCGGATGCGGGAAATGGAAGATGAGGCTTCGGCGGTTGACAGCCGGCAGTGCTCGCAGCCGCAGACGAAACCCCAAACTGCTCGCGTGTGGGCTTGTCTCTCGGCAGCTGGTGCGAGCGAGTCGATATAGGAGATGGTGAGCTCTTCACCAGGCGCGATGGCCCTGGCTGCATACGCTCGAAAGACGAGATTCCCGTCTGTATGTGAAACGAGGCTGTGGTGGGGGGACCCCATGTACGTGTTAGCCAGCCTAAAGACACCGGAAAGTAGGGGCCGACCGCGACATACTTTGGCCTGCAGTCGTGATTTATCCTCGACGCGCTGGGGAAGTTGCCGTAGTGAAACCCTGCCTCACCCTCCCCAGCAAGCGCCAGCCGGAACGAGTTCGTCAGGAGGATGTCCAGGATCTCGTAGCCACCAACCCCGTCTCCCGACCGCCCCTGTCGCATGAACGCCTTGCGACGGGCGGCGGGGAGCGAGCGCACAGCCGAGCCCAGCGCCTCGATGTACCGCCCTGAGCGGTCCTCCAGCACTCTCTTCTGCGCAAGCATGGCTGGCGCCTCGGCCATGACGAGCTCGCCCCTGCGGATGGGCCTCTTCGCCACGAGGCCGAGGCCCTTCCCAGGCAGTGCCCGTTCCGCAAACGGCGGGTCCTTCAGGCCGCTGCTGCCGCTGCTGCTGCTGCTGCTGCTGCTGCTGCTGCTCTCAAGGGCGTCGTGCGCCGTCGGCCGCAGGTCCATGACGCGCTTGGCATTCCTGTCCGTCGTAAAGAGGACAATGCCGTCGCCCAGCTCGGCGTTTGCGTGCACGCAGTAGACACCGACGCATGCGTGCGGACCGCTCCAGCCAGCTGTCCGGCTGTCGCGTTCGCGTTCTTTGTTGTCGCATGTGGTCTTGCCCGGGGTCGTCGCCACTGGGCCCCAAAGGCGAAGCTGTTGGCTCCATTGGCATGTACCGACCAAGTCGAGGCTGGGGGAAGAGAGGACTGCCGGAGCCAGGGAGCCAACAAAGGCCGCCGATGCAAAGCGCATGATGGCCTTTCGTAGAATGAAGCGACACGGTTTGTAAAGCAGGATTCTGCAAACAGGTCAACCTGATCACATGCTGCAGCGAGGACAAAAGAAAACAACCAAGCCAGGCTGCCACGATGCGCCACTGCCAGGCGCAAAATGTCTCAGCGGTGACTCCTATCGCCGATCGATGAGAATAGCATTCAGGCACATCGCCCACAGGACCATGCCCCGCTGAGTGAAACGGAACCAAGCCCTCCGCAAGCACCAAAGCCGGCGGCTGCTTCGGACCCGGGGTACTATGCTACCAGCGCAACGTCGTTTTAGCTTGGCCGATCAGGAGCGTTGTGTTAAATATGGTAGGGCAAAAATTTACAGAAGAAAAGGGCGAGTGGCTAGCCCAATTTGCCCAGAGCAGATCTATCCATTCAGACGATAGAAAAGCCTGATAAATCACAGCCAAGGCTTCACCTTGTAGGCACGCCTTGCCAGACTTGTTTAAGTGTATTTGCGATTGACCAATCGCTAGCCCCTTTACAGAATTGTCACAAAGTAAACAGTATATACTGTCATAAGGAAGCCTTAAGCATAAATATCAGATGCCTAAAGCATCGAAAAAGCGGTCCCCCTGCCTGGAAGCGTATAACGCTTCCAAGCGTTAGGAAGGAAGCTTAATAAGCAAAAAGGACAGGGAGTTACGTATATATAAAAGGCAAAGGCCTTTACGGGACCTTGCACTTTAAATCCTTTTTTTTTAAAGCATATTAACCGGAATAGCTTTATACCGTGCTTATCCCTTTTGCTTGCAACAATTATAAGCCCGGCAACTTTTAAACCTTTTAACGTAAAGTAAAAGGCTTAACAGTACGGATTTATTCCCTTTTTATTATTTTTATTAAATCGTTCCCAAACGCGTTTTTCCAAGCGCGTTTATCTTTTTTTTCCTTTCCGCAATTTTTTTACGAAAAAATTTTTACGCTTTTAAAACCTTTTTCGATAAAGTTTTTTTTGCCGAAATAAATTTCGTTATTAATTCCGAACGTTGCCAAAAACCTTTATTAAATTTTATTTTTTTAATTTTTACGTTTTTACGCTTTTAAAGTTTTTAACCCTTTGTTTTTTACCGCTTTACTTTTACGAACTTTCGGTTATTACCAATTATAAATGGTACGAATAACGATTTTTTCGTAATAACGTTATTTAAAAATTAAAAACAATAGCTTACGTAATTTACGGCGTTCCGTTAAAACGCATTAATTTTAAGGATTTAAAACCAGGTTAACCTTAATTTAAAATTCCCGAACAACGTACAAGCCAACGAAACCTTAAATTTTAATTTTTTTACAATAAAGGCCCGAACCAAGCACGTTAAAAATTATAAATTTAA